ATCAGCGCGGCCTTGCGGGCCCGCGGCAGGGCGGCCCCGACGCGTTGCGGGGGCAGCAGTACCGCGCCAACAGAGGTGTCTGGGCCAATCGGGGCGGTCGGAATCGCGAGTTCTTCAACGCGAAGTACGGCTCTGGCAAGAGCAAGGGCAAGGACGAGGGCTGCGGCAAGGACATGGGCAGCGGCAATGGCAAGGGCCGCGACAACGCCACCGCCAGCAGCACCGCCGCCAGCAGCAGCAGCCGCCAGCAGCAGATGCAGTACTTGTGAGCAGCGGCGCAGCCCGCTGCACCTCGGCAGCTGCGGCGCTTCGCGGCAGCCGCTGCGCTGCCGCGCTCGCTCGCTGCTGCGCCGCTGCGCCCGCTTCGCGGCAGCTGCGGCGCTTCGCTGCTGTCAGCTGCGGCAGCGCCGTGCTCCGAGCGTCGCGGCGGCGGCGCTTCGCTTATAATCGCTTGACTTCGCGCTTGCGAGCGCGCGCGCAGAGACGGCCGCGCACGGTCGGCGGCGACGGCGACGGCGGCGCGAACGCGGCGACGGCGTTAGCGACGGTGAGCGGGTCCGGTGTCTGGGGGGGGGGGCGGAAGCATTCCAATTGTTGGGCTGGCAGATGCAAAAACGATTCCGATCGTTGATGAGGGGGGGGGGGGGGGGGCGAAGCGAACCCGATCTCTGCGACGGTTGGCGACGTGCGATTTGCTCGGGGCGAAGGGTGGTCTGGATGAGTTGGCGACAGCGATTCTGATCGCGGCCTGAGGGGCTTGAGGGAGACGTTGGAGGGCGTCATGGGCGATTCCGATCGCTTGGGGGTGGGCTGCACGTGTATAGGATAGCGATTTCGATCGCTTCCGATGGGTGAGCATGGTTCGAACGCGCAGCATACCATTGCCGTTGTTGGCTCTGTCCCCGCGCGCGGCCTGCGGCGGGCGGCATCGCGGACCGCGGCGGGCGGCGGGCGACGTCGCGGCCTTCGGCGGGCGGCGGGCGGCACCAGCGGCGGCAGCGGCAGCCGCGGCAGCAGCAGCAGCAGCAGCAGCAGCAGCTGCCAACACCGCCGTCGGCAGCACCGACATTAGCAGCAGCAGCGGCAGCAGCGCAGCTGCAGCAGCAGCGACAGCAGCTCCAGCAGAAGCACCATGTCGGCGCAGGTGGGCGAGTGGCACCGCCTCGGGCGCGCGGCCCCAGGCTGCGCAAAGAAGTGCTTCAAGCAGGCGCCGCGCGAGTGCTTCATCTGGTACGAGGAGCACTTGTAGAACTCGACCGCTGAGAGCCATGTTTCCATCGACGAATGGCAGCGGACCGACATGGTCGGCCAAGCGACCGCCACTCCCGTCGACCCCGAGGACGTCGACGAGCGGCGCGCGTGGGAGGCCAGGAAGATGGCCGAGGCAGCGGGCGCAGCAGACGCAGCAGGCGCAGCAGCAGCAGCAGCAGCCACCTCCGCGGAGCCCACGAGCGAGTCGCGGTCGCGGTCGCACAAGCGCCGCCGCCGCGCCAAGCGCGAGGAGGCCAGCCCGCCGCTAGCGGCGCGCGCCCCACGCTCGCCGAAGCGCAGGGGCGAGCCGACCTCGCTCGCCGCCGCCGCCCGCCGAGACGTCGTCGCTGGCGGCGGCGGCCCCCGCGCCAAGTCGGCGTCCTCGGCGCCACCGCCCGCCGCCGCCGCCGATCAGATCCGCTCCCTCCATGCGACTGCGGAGAGTCTCAAGGAGACCGTGGCGGCGGTGGCGAGCGTCGCGGTTGCCGGCTCTTCGTCGTCGGCGTCGAACGCGGTCACCATCCTCAAGGAGACCACGGCGCCGATGGCGCCGCTGTCCGTGGGCGCGGCAACCGCGACGCTGTCCATGGGCGCGGCCAAGCAGATCCTGGACCACATCAGGAGGGCCGAGAGCTGCGCGGAGACGGCGGCGGACGCGTGCAGCAAAGCCGCGGCCGCGTTCCAGCGCGAGGCGGCGAGCCTGGCGTCGGCGCGCGCCGACGTCGAGCAGGCGACGCGGCCGCGCGGCCTCTGAGGTTGCACCGCAGTTGGGGGCAGATCGATTAACTGATGGACACCAGGAAGCTGAATGGTTAGCTGGCGGTGGCACCAAGTGGCTAGCGATTCGGCATCCATGCATCCAGCAGATAGTCGCTCGGCTGTCAACTGTCACCAGGCTGCCTTCCCCGCGCCGCCGCCCCGCAGCGCTGGCAGCGCTGCCGCGGCCGCCCGCCCGCCCCGCCCCGCCCGCCCGCCGCCGCGGCGGCCCCCGCCGCCCCCCGCCCCCGTCCGCGCCCGTCGCCGCAGGCCAACCCGCCGCCCGGGCCGCGCCCGTCGCCGCGGCGGGCGGCCCCCTTGCGGCACCGCGCCGCCCCGCGCCCGCCGCCGCGGCGACGGTGGCCCCGCGGCCTACCGTTGGCAAAATACGTTGCGAGGGGAACCGATGGCGATCGCTTTGATGTCGAGCGCGTGGGTGTTAGCGATGCCTATCGCTTGAGATAGCGATGTCGATCGCTTAGTCGGAGCGGCGGCGCGGCATGCTTGTTTTTTTTTTGCGCGTGCGTGTGTGTGTGTGCGTGCGTGTGTGCGTGTGTGTGTGTGTGTTGCGTGCTTGTGTGTGTGTGTGTGCGTGTGTGTGTGCGTGTGCGCGCGCCGCGCGGCGCGCGTGCGCGTGCGTGGGGGGGGGGGGGGGGGGGGGGGGGGGGGGCGAATGCTGAGCGGCTGCGTGGGCGATGGCAATCGCTTGGGGTAACAGTGCTCATCGCCTGGGTTAGCGACGCCGATCGCTTTTTTTTTTTTGGGGGGGGGGGGGGCGCGGCGATGGATGTTGAGTGGGGGAGTGCGTAGCGATGCCGATCGCTTGGGTAAGCGATGACCGCCACTTGGGTTAGCGACGCCGATCGCTTGGGGGGGGGGGCGATGGATGTTGAGGGGGGGTGCGTAGCGATGCCGATTGCCTGGGTAAGCGGTGACCGTCAATTGGGTTAGCGATGTCGATCGCTCGGGCGGGGCGGCGGCGAGGGATGCGGATGGGAGGGCGTAGCGATGTCGATCGCTTGGGTACGCGGTGACCGTCAATTGGTTAGCGATGTCGATCGCTTGGGCGGGGCGGCCGGCGATGGGATGCGGATGGGAGGGCAGCATGCGATATCGATCGCCTGAGAGGGGCAACGGTGGGGGATGTTGAGGGGGATGGTGTGACGATGACGATCGCCCGCGAGCGTAAGCGATGGCGGTCGCTCGTGGGAATGATGATGAGGTCGGGGGAGCGAGATTGTGAGATGGCGGTGGTGGTGGTCGGAGTAAGTGCACCTAGGGCCCTGGTAAGTGCCGCAAGTATCATAAGCTCCTCACAATGATATATGTTTGTTTTTGTTATATTGTGGTATCTTTTATTATCCTGAACTTTCGGGTGCGAGGATAACAAAAAGATAACATACGATAACATGGTATCATAAACGATAACATGTTATCTTATAAGATAACACACATGATAACAAGTTATATTTTATGATAGCATGATACCTTCTAGGGTAACATGTTGTATTTTGTTTTCCTGGTGTCAGAAATTCCAGGATAACATAGGACAACCCAAGATAACAAAGAAAATATAACATCGTGTGGAACGTATCGTACTTGTCATATTTAGGCGCGGTAAGTAGCTTAACGATGGCGATCGCTTGTTCATAACGATCATGGTTGTTGATGTGACGTCATTGCGGTTGTAGATCGAGCGGGCGAGCTTGGTGCTCGTCCTTGCGACGAAAACGCCCCCCCGATCGCGGGGCTTGCGCGCCGCGCACCGCTCTCGGGGCCCGCGCGCCATGTCCACCGCGACGGGCGCCGTCCAGGCCAAGGGCGAAAGCGACTGCGACAGCGAGGCGACGCTGAAGCTCGCGGGGCCGAACGATGATAGCTTGCACGCTGCTATGATTGCCGACCTCGGCTTGGGCAACGGGCAGGCAAGTGACGCCGCGGCGGGCGGCGCCGGGGGGGGCGGCACCGCGGCGGGCGGCGCCGAGGGGGGCGACGCAGCGGCTGGCGACGCCGAGGGAGGCGACGCCGGCGGCAGGCAGCGCGGGCGACGCCGCGGCGGCAGGCAGCGCGACGGGCGACGCCGCGGCGACAGGCTGCGCGGGCGATGCCGCGGTCGACGCAGGCAGCGTGGGCGACGCCGCGGCCGTTGCAGGCATCGTGGGCGACGCCGCGACGCCACCGACGGCGACGCCGAGTGTGCCCATGAAGGGGAAGCGGCCGCCGAACAAGGCCAGGGGGGAGGCGAAGGCTGCAGATACGGCGACCCAGCACGTGGCGAAGGGCAAGGCTAAGGGCAAAGCCATGTCGGCGCCGAAGCCACCACCCAAGAAGGCCACAGCCAAGGCGACGGACGCGGCAGCGTCTGTGCCACCCAGGGCCAAGTCGGCGAGCGCGGCAGCGTCTGTGCCCCCCAGGACCAAGTCCCCCAGGACCAAGTCGGCGAAAGCTGCAGCGCCTGCGACCAAGGCAGCAGTGGCGAGCGCGGCAGCGCCTGTGCCCAAGGCCGCGGGCAAGGCCATGGCCGGCTACGCGGACATCGGCAAGTGGATCCAGAAGGTGCCAGTCCGACCGCCGCAGGCGGACTCGACTGCTGCGAGTTCGGGGACGGCTACATCCTCTCCACAGAGGTTCGCGGTGGGGAGCTTCGCGGCGCTATCGAGCCCGCAGAGTAGGAGCCGCCTGAGCGACCAGCGCGAGCTGGGCCTGGATGCTTTCGACGACGCGTTCCACTGTGATCGGCGCGGCCAGCCGTGCGACGTGATGTCGTCGTATCCCGTACGGGTAACGAAGAAGGGGCAGGTCTTCAGGTGCAAGTTGTGCTCGTCGCGCGGCGCCCAAGTCGCTCGTTGCGAGGAGTGGGGTGCGACGAAGGCGCGGCTGCTGCGCTTCAATGATCACGAGCGGAGGGCCTCCTGGAGCGGCCTGCAGGAATGCACGAAGAAGTTTAGCTGCAAAAGCACTTGAGCTTCACGCTGCAGACGCTCGCGGAGAAGGGGCAGCGGCACGGCAAGAAAGGCTGCTATTACCCATTGACGCGGTGCAAGAAACACGGGGTCCCGTGGCGCCACATCAAATCCACGTGCACGGACGTTGTGCAACGCCCCGTGCTGGGCAAGTGCTACCGCCTTGAAATACATGAAATAGAGCGCTGGGAGCAACAAGTGAGCAGAAAGGTCCAGGAGGAGTCCGCGAAGGGCGTCGACGCGAGCGGCGGCGACGTTGCACCGGACGGCGACCGCGAGAGCAGCGAGGGGGGCGATGATGTCGACAACGCCGACTTCGAGGAATGCGAGGGGGAGTGCGAAGGCGGCGAGGAGGAGGAGGGCGGCGAACGCGACGAGGTGATCAGTGATTCACCTGCGTCGCTCAGCGGTAGTGATGATGATCACGATCGCCCAGCAGAGGACGGCTCGAGTCACGAGCCACCGACGCCACCCATCAAGGCAAAGCATCGCCGCAAGGACGGCGCCAAGAAGGTCTCACTCAAGGACGAGCTGCGCAGCGATGGCGACATTGAACGCAGCAGTACCACGCGCAGAGATAAGAAGCATCGCAAGGACGGCGATGCGAAGGTCAGCAAGCACGGCGGCAACAAAAAGCGATCGAGCGATGCGATGATCAGAGCTGCACTGGATGTTTGCACTAAGCGCCCGGAAGACAAGGTCGCGCACACGGGCAAGGGCAGAAGCAGCAAGGACAAACGCAAGGACAAGGGCACAGGCAGCAAGGCCACGCGCCATGATAAGAGCAGCGCGGGCCGCGCCAAAGACACGCCCATCCACAAGAGCAGCAAGGGCAAGGCCAAGGGCAAGGCCGCTGAGGAGAAGAGAGCCGCCAGCACTAAGGAGAAGAATCACCGCGACGCCGACGCCCATGAGAAGGGCAATGTTCACAAGAAGCAAAAGAAGCCGCCCCCCACCAGCAGCGGCAGCGACAGCAACACCGACAGCGACCCCCCCGAGCTGCAGACCGCCCAAGAGAGGAAGACCCGCGAGAAGGCTGAAAGGGAGAGCGCCAAAGAGAGGTTTGGACACGCTGAAGAAGGCGGAGAAGGAGAAGGCAGCCAAGATGCTCCTGGCGACGCGCGGCGCGGGCGCAGGTGATTATCATCACCCCCCTACCCCCCGCCCTCCTCCATCCCACCCCCAAGCAATGCTCGGCCTCCTCCTCCTCCTGCAGGCGAAGCTGATGGTCCCGCACCAGAGGCTGGAAAAAGCCATTGAATCCGACGGGTTCGGCAAGCTCCCCGATGCCATCAAGAAGAACGCGACCGACAAGTTGCAGACGTTGCCGGCCATCTTAAAGGCGAGCTCGAAGATTGTCTCCAGGCGCTGGGACCCCTCCAAGTTCACTTGGACGGCGACCGAAGTGCACGACATCGCCAACGCGGCGAATGCACAGGGGGTGCTCGTGAGCACGATGTGCAAGAGCATCCAGACCATGAAGTAAGCATGGTCTGGACGTCATCGGCGTGGCCTTAGCGCAGCCACGCATCGCCAGGAGGTCGCTGCAGGTAGCGGCGCTGTCGGCCACGTGGTGCTTTAGCGTCTTTCCCCACCATGGCCATGGCGGGGGGATTGGGGACGGTGGCGCGCCCTGCCCACCACCGCGCGCATCACAGCCGCAAGCCTTGGCAGGGGCACAGAAGCCTGCCGTCTGATCCAGGCGCCACGCTTGAGCTTGCGCAGTCAGAGAGCTTTATTATGTTGAGCTGGATTCGTCCAGCCGCAGGCTGAGTTATTTTGAGCTGTTGAGCTTTATGTTTGCTTGCAGGCGCCCAGCTGCACTCTGTTGGAGCTTGCGCAGCCAGAGAGTGCAGCTGCCACCGCTGGCGTACACCAGCCACGTGCCTTGTTCCTTGCTGCGCATATGCCACCCAGCAAGGAGGCCTTTTTCCGCGCGGCGCAGCGCATTTGCGCCGCGCCGTGCCATGGCGCGGGCGAGGCGCATCGCGACGGAGGGGAATGACGAAGAGGATGCACCCGAGGAGGATGAGGCGCCTCCCCTGCCACCCGCCGCGCGGCACATCGTTTCCGCGCGGCGAAGCGCATTTGCGCAGCGCCGCGTGCCTAGTTCCAGATGCGGGCGAGGCGCGCGGTGACGCGCGTTGCCCCCCCCACCGACTGCGCGTTGATCGCGCAGCGGTTGTGGCTTGTAAAAAACATAGCGGTGATAGCAATGTCGATCGCTGGATGCGGGTGGTGCAGTCGTGGAGGTGGCAGAAGCGGGTGGGCGAGTGACCTAGCGATGACGATCGCTGCGGGGTGGAGGGTAGCGATGCTGATCGCTGCGGGAGGGATGGCAGCGATGGCGATCGCTACGACGAGGAGCAGCGCGGGGATCAACATGTTCAGCGATGGCGATCGCTTGGGGCGGGGTGATGAGCGGTGGTTGGAACGAGAAGAAGGATGATGATGATGATGAGGAGGAGGAGGATGATGCTGAGACGGCGGAGGGGGATGAGGAGGAAGGAAAGTGTTGCCAGCGATGGCGATCGCTTTCGAGACTGGGAGACTGGGCGCATGGTCAGTCATAGAGCCGCGTCGGCTCGATATCGGCGCGCACCCGCGCGCCGCATGGCTGCCTCGGCCGCGCCGCCAGTCGAGCGCGCCGCCAAGTGTCGCCGATTGGGCGAGCTCGTCGCCGCGCTAGGCACCACTGCCAGGGCACTCGTGCGCCCCGCGAGGCAATTCGCGGATGACCCAGCTGCATCGATATCTCGCAATGCTGTCAGTTCCGCCGCTGCCGAGGCTTACGACGCCGTCGGCACGTCGATCGAGCTCCCAATGGCCGACAAGGCTGAGAAGCCGTTCAACTGGCACGTCGGTAATGTCGGCAATTTGTTGCGGCACGTGTGCCGAGGGAGCTCCGAATGCGCGGCGATTATCGAGCGGGCGGTTGAAGGTGGCATACCGCTCACACTGGTGTTATACTTGGACGAGATCACGCCAGGCGACGCGTTGGCGCCGCGGCGCGGCCAAACACTCTGCATGGTATTCTTCAGCTTCCTGGAGTTCGGTTCCGACATGCTACACGGGCCAGAGTTGTGGCTTCCATGTGGCGCCCTGCGCTCGAAGATCGCCAGCGGCGTGAACGGCTGCATCAGCTGCGTCGTTCGGCTCCTCCTGAGGAATGTGTTCCTCGCTCCAAGCAGGCTGGCCACTGCTGGCGAGCGCGTGCCCTTCCGACGGCACCTCGGCGCTGATTCGGGCGCGCCAGTGCAAGATCCTCGCCGACAAGGACGCCCACAAGGGAGTAGTCAGCATGAAAGGCGCCAACGGTTGGCGGCCGTGCATGCGACGCGAGAGCGCCATCAGAGAAGGAGCCCGCGTCGCGGGCGACGTCGGCAACTATTTCGTCGACATTTGCTGCCACGACTTCGCGCGTTTCGTCGCGCAGTCGGACGACGAGGCGCGGGGGCTCTGGGACGAGCTCGCCGCGCAGGTCGGCCGCCTGCCAGCGGCCGGGTTCAAGAAGCTCGAGGTCGCCAGCGGGTTCAACTACCACGCTAATGCGCCGCTTAACGATCGCGAGCTGCGGAGAGCGGTGCGACCGTCATCGTCGATGTACGACTCAATGCACAACCTCTGGAGCAATGCATCATCGGTTGGGAAGTGTTCGCTTTCCTGGGCGCGTGCAAAAGGAAGGCTGGCATGTCGTCCGCCGACTTGCGCAAGTACGCGCGTTGCTGATCGTGCGCCGGCGGCTCGTCGGCGACGCGGCATGCGTTCACGACTGGGCACGAGACCGCGCGCAAGAAGTCGTTCAAAGCTGGCGCAAGCGAGCTGATCTCCCCGCTGCACATCCTGCTGGCGCGCGCCGAGGAGCGCGTCGCCGACATTCCGTCGCTCGAGCGCGAGCTCGATTCATTCCGCGCGCGCTGCCTGATGGCGGACGCACTCCTGCGGGCCAAGCGCGGGCTTCCCGCCCCAACCAAGGAGGAGTTCATCGCGCTGGCAGAGGTCCATTTTGACTTCCACCAGCGGGTGCACGGCTCCCGCTTCGTCAAGCCGAAGCACCACTACGTGTTGCAGAACGCGGCGCACCACTACGTGTTGCAGAACGCGGCGCAGGAACTCCCCAAAGCGCACCTCCCCCCCCCCCCCGCGGGCGTTGCGTTTGAGCTGGGGGCGTTCGAGGGCGCCCCCTTCCAACGCCACCCGTCGCAATCGAACGCCACAACGCTGACCAGGAGCCCAAGCAGCTCGACTGTTTCGTCACTGAGCGGCGCAACAAGGTGGCGAAGGGCATCGCCGAGTCCGCGACGAACTGCTCCAATTTCGAGCGCGCGGTCCTCGGGGCCGCCGTCCTGCACCAGTTGCGGATGCTCAAGGACATGGGGCCGTCTGGCAACGCGCTGGCGCCGCCGATGGTTGACTCGCCAAAGCTGCGCCCCGCGATCGGGGCCGTCGAGGTCTTCGCGGCGCTGTCGCTGCGTTGGGAGGGGGCCCAGTTCAAAGTAGGCGAGATCGTTCGCTCGCGCGGTGGCGAGTGCTTCGTCGTGGACGCGCGCGCCGTTATTTCGGGCGACTTGCACATCGTCGCGCGCGGGATTGAGATCCACGCGCGCGGGGGCGGCGTTGGCACTGGCCGCGTGATCAACGAGCTCCTCGCGATCAAGCTTGCCGACGCCGACCCGACGGCGTCGGTTTGGGCGCGGCGCCTGCGCAAGGGCGAATGCACCATTGCGCGCGCCCGCTGCTGAAACACACAAAAAAAGTAGAACTCGCCGCGCTGTTGATGCGCAGGGGGCTGATGAGAGCGGGGGAAGCGATGGCGATCGCTCGGGCGGAGGGGCGTCGGCCGCTTTAGTGGAGGGGGGATCTGAGAAGGAGGGGGGGGGGGGGTGCAGGAGGGGGAGGGGGGGGAGGGGAGGGAGAAAGGATGGGGATGGGGGGGGGGGGGGGGTGGGCGGTAGGGGGGGGAGGGTGAGGACGAGGATCGAGCGATGGGGATCACTTGGCGGAGCGGCGACGACCGCTCGAGGAGGAGGGAGGAGGGGGGGTGGGAAGGGGGGGGAGGAGGGAGGGGGGAGGAGGAGGGAAGAGGAGGAAGACGAGGAGGATGGGGGGGCGAGCGATGGGGATCGCTTGGGCGGATCGGCGGCGACCGCTTAAGGGGGGACGAATGAGAGGATAATGCGCGATATGGGGGCGGAGCGATGGTGATCGCTTGAATGATGGCGGGGGCGATGGCGATCGCTTGGGCGGAGCGGTGGCGACCGCTGTAGAAGGAGGCGTAGGAGGAGGACGGCGACGAGGGGAGGATGATGAGAAAGGGGAGGAATTACGATAGCGATGGCGATCGTTGCAGGAGGCGAGGGAGGGTGGGCAGGACAGGGCGCTCCGCGGGCCGCTGCGATGGAGGGCCAGCTGGTCGCGCCTGTCGCGTGGTACCGCGAGCAGCAGGCCGAGCTGTCGCAGCGGCGCTCTGCGCGGGAGGCCCCGCGCCCCCCTCCAATCCAGCGATAGCGATCGCTCTCTTCTTATTATTCTTCATCCTCTTCCTCCTCCCCCCATCGACCCATCCTCCTCCTTTTCCCCCCCCCTCCTCCTCCTCCTCCTCCTCCTTCTCCCCTCCTCCTCCTCCTCCTCCCCTTCTCCTCCTCATCCTCCTCCTCCTCCTCCTCCTCTCCCTCGTCGTCCCCCCCCTTCTCCTTCTCCTCCTCCTCCTCGTCCTCCTCCTCCTCATCATCCTCCGCCTCCTCCTATTCCTCCGCCTCCTCTTCGCCCAGGCGATCGACCGCGGCTTACTGCAGCAGGTCCGCGACCTGGACCAGTGGCTCACCGAGGTGGGGGCGACGATGACGACGCGACGACGACGCGGAAGACGACGGTGGCGCGCGCGACGATGACGACGAACGCGGCCGAGCGCGAGCTGACGCGGCGCTGGCGGCGCTGGAGGCGGCGACGCGGCGCGAGGAGGAGAGGCAACAGAAGAAAAAGAAGGATAATAAGAAGAAGAAGGAGAAAAAGAAGCAGGAGAAGAACGCGGCGCGCTTGCGCTGAAGAAGCCCGCGAACAACCGCTGAGTTGGCCGCGCGCCCTCGCCTTCCTCCTTCTCCTCGCCCTCCTCCTTTAAAAAAAGTTAGTGGTACTTATAAGAAGCCCATAAGTAACTTAGATATGAAACCCTGAGTAACTTAGTCAGTAACTTAGTAAGTAGCACTAACTTGCAACGGTAAGTCGCCTAAGTTACTTGCGGTACTCAACGCTAAGTAGCAGAAGAAGCTCCATCCTTTAAGTGGTACGCATTTTCCTTTATGCTGAATTTCTGCTTCCGGCGCCCGGGAGGCCTCCCGGGCCGATTCCGACGCCCGGGCCGGCGCCCGAGCCGGCGCCCGGGCTGGGCGCCCGAGCCGGCGCCCGGGCCGGCGCCCGGGCCGGGTCCGGAGCCGGTTCCGGCCGGCGCCGGAAAATCGAGTTTCGAGGCGGCGCCGAAAAAAGGCCATTCCAATACGCATCTTTTTTGAAAATGCTGAATTTCTGCTTCTGGCGCCTGGGAAAGCCTGCCGGGCCGATTCCGGCGCGCTTCCGCTCGTTCCGAATCGTGCTCCCGCTGCAGCGCTGGCTTCATTTCCGCGCTTCCGCCCGTTCCGACTCGCGCTCCCGCTGCAGCGCTGGCGTCATTTCCCGCGCCGTGCCGCGGCATGCGATGCAATGCTAGGTTGATACTACGCTTCGCGGTGCTCTTCTACGCCATACCACGCCGTGCTCTACAATGCATCGCGTACCCTTTCGGGATCATTGCCCTGCTCGACATCCGACTGTGCGAGTAGAGAGGGGATCTGCGCCATGGTAAGGGATGGGGGGGAGGGGTGGGATGTCAGATATGACGCGAGCGCACCTAGCTTGTCCTCCTCCCTATCACCCTCCCTCTTCTCCTCCTCCTCCTTTTCCTCCACCCCCTCCTCCTCCTCCCCCTTGTCCTGCTGCCCCCAGTCCCGTCCCCTCCTCCTCATCCCCACGGGGGCGGGGAGGGGCCCGGACCTCCCGCGTGCCGAGCAACAATCGAGACGGAGGGTGCTGCTCGCGTGCGGCCTCGGGGGGGCCTCGTCGGGCCCCGGGGTCGTCAGACAGCGATGCGGGGCGAGACATTAGCCTTAAGTCGGGCCTGTCCCCCATACAGCGGGATTTTCTACGAAAGATAAGATATACCCAAAAAACAATCAAAAAAATCCAAAAAAAGTCTGGGGACTACTGTAGAGGGACACGCCCGACATAAAATTAGCCCCCGGGAAGTAGTCCAGGGATCCAGGGACCCCTCTAGACCTCCCAGACAGGGGTCGAAGTCGACAGGGTCTGAGGATCGCGCCGCATCGTCGATGCATCGGCGATGCGGCTCGGTCTGGCAGGAGCCCGAGTTTCTCCACGCCGACGTCGCCAGTACATCACAGACGTTGCCAGCGCATCGCCGATGCATCGCCGATACGTCGCCGAGGCATCGGCGATGCGGCGCGATCTTCCGACCACATCTATTCCGACCCCATCTAGGAGACTTCTAACCCCGCATATGACATATTGGGACATCGAAGGTCCAGGGAGGGAGGGAGGGAGGGAGGGTGGTTCACTCGTTCGCAACCCATGTCGCGCGATCCATCGGCGCAGCAGGGGAAAGGTGCTAGCGGCGCGGGAGGGCGGGAGGGACGGAAGTCTGAGAACAGAGAGTGTTTTCAGCATCGTCTGACCCCATCCCCAATGGGCCACGGTATCTCAGCCCCAGCAGCGCCCCATTCCACCCTCCCGGTGGGATAGGCCCCGCGAGTCCCCGAGGAAATGGCGCAACTCCCCGCCTGGGAGGGTAAGTCGGCCAGTTGGGCCAAGGTTAAGCCAGTGGGGTTGGGAATCAGGCAGACGATGATCATGCGTTTGAGGCATATTTGTGGGGCCAACGGAGAACAAGCAAGATTGGTCAACAAAGGGGGATGGTCGGCGGGGGCAGAAAGGGCGGATAGCATGTAGTCGGGCCTGGTCCCTCTACAGGAGGAATCATCAAAAATAGTCCAGCAATGATCTGGGGACGATGTTGCGATGATTGTTTTAGTATGTTTGAGCGCTTGTTTAAATCTGTTTTATATGTCGTCCAAAATCCGCCTGCAGGGGGACCTGCCCGACCTAAGGATGGCACAGGGAGTATCCAGGGGAGCCGATGACCCCCGTGCTCGGTGAGGCTCCTGGAGAGGCGCGCGTGGTGCCCGTCCCTGGGCTCTCCGCCCCCTATTTGGCCTCCGCCAGGAGGGTGGGAGGAGCAGGCGGGGGCGCAGACAAAGGGGGGGGGAGGGGAGGGAGGAGGAGCAGGAAGGGGCAAGGGGAAGGGGCGAAGGAGGGTGAGGAGGAGAAGGAGGAGGAGGAGGAGGAGGAGGAGGAGGGAGAAGGGGAGGGAGAGGGAGGGGGGGGGGGCGAAGCACGTAGCGTAGGGTGGGAGAGGAGAGGGGCGAGTGGAGGGAAGAGGGTGAAGATGAGCAGCAGCAAGAGAATGAGTACAAGATAGGACTTTTGCGAACCCAGGAGAGTGAAGAGGAGCGTGTTCAGGAGCGTCATGGGATCCTCCCTAGCCATTTTGACTCAAGCTTGAGCGCGCGGCGTTAGCTGGCAGGTGCCAGGGAACAGCAGACAGCGCCCCGGTTTCGGCAGCGAGGCACGCGGAGATGGTGCCCGCCTCCTACTCTGACGAGGAGCTGCTGCACCGGCATGAGCCTACTGCAGAGGCGCCCGCGGCGCGTCGGCCAGCCCTCCCGCGCGCGCTGCTCGGCCTGGCCCCGCCGGCGGCGTGCTGTGGCGCGGCGCTGGCGCTCTCCGGCGCGGCATCGCACGGCGCGCCGCGGGGCTCGTCCCTGAGGGGGGGTTCAGCAGAAGAACTTCTGGAGCGACCTGAAGTACCAGGCGGGCTTCGGCAGTGACGACGAGGGGAAGCCCGTGTCCCTCCCCGACCTGCCGACCAAGGGCGACATGGAGGGCCTGAAGGATGCCGTGGGTGGCGTGGACGAGGAGACGGCGGGGAAGCTCCAGGCGGGCATCCAGGGCATGGCGGAAGAGGCCCAGAAGAACGCGGGCGACGCCAAGGAGAAGATCAAAGGTGCGGTCGAAGACAAGATGGACGACGCGAAGTCCAGCATGGAGAAAGTCAAGGGCAACCTCGAGGACGCCAAGAAGGGTGCCGAGTCCAGCGTGAGCAGCATCAAGAAAGACGTCGAGGCCAAGGTGCCCGACATCCAGGGCAAGCTGGGCAGTGCAGCTGCCGCGTGCAAGGACGCCGGCGTGTCCTGCCCCGACCTGGACAAGGCGCAGAGCAAGATCGAAGAGGCGAAGGCGGGCGTCTCCGATGCCAAGGAGAAGCTCGAGGGCGCAGTCGCGGACCACGCCGGTGCAGACAACATCAATGAGGTCGAGGGCAAGGTGGAGGACGCCAAAGAGGAAGCCGAGGAGGCCAAGGACAAGTTGGACAGCGGCCTCAAGGACAGCCCGGCTTCCACGGGCTCCGTGGAGGACAAGGTCAAGGAGGGCGTCGACAAGGTCAAGAGCGAGCACGACACGGTCGGCAGCGCCGAGGACGAACTGAAGGGCGCGAAGACGAAGCTCGAAAGCGCCAGCGACGACGTCAAGGGCATGTCCGATAAGATCGACGACGCGAAGAGTACGGTGGGCGACGCGGCGGACGAACTGAAGGGGAAGGTCGAGGACAAGATGGCAGACGCGAGCGACGCCCTGGAGAGCGTCAAGGGTCAGCTCGAAGACAAGCTCAAGAACCCAGACGGCAGCCGCCTGCTGAAAAAGGGCGACGCGGGCAGCGCCCCCGTCGACAAAGACAAAGTGAAGGAGGCGCTCAGCAACGTCGAGGACGCGCAGACAAAGCTGGAGGGCGTGAAAGAAAAAGTTGAAAAGAACGCGGAGGGCATCAAGGAGAAGGTCGCGGGCAAGCTGGACGAAGCCAAGGGCAACGCGAAGGACGTCGGCGACAGCCTGAAGGAGTCGCAGGGCGGCATCAAGGGCGTGACCGACAAGCTCGACGGCGTGAAGGAGAAGCTCGAGGACGGGGTGCAGGACAAGATGGATGAAGTGAAGGGCAAGGTGGTGGATAAGGTGAAGGAGAAGGCGGGTGACAACGTGGGTGATACGGTGAAGGAGAAGCTGGACGGGATCAAGCTCCCCCGATGAGCGGACTTGAGTTTCCGTCCGCATGCCTCCTCCCCAGCGTCGAACTTCTACCATCTTAATCCCTCTCTCCTTTCCCCTCTCTCTCTCTCTTTTTCTCTCTCTCTCTCTCTCTCACTCTCTCGCTCTCCTTCTCTCTCACTCTCGCGTTATCTCTTTCTTTGTTGAAGACGCACAAAGCACCGGACTAGGATAGCTGATTTAAGACATGTCCTGACTGCGGGCACCAAAGCCTTCCCTCGTGCGCCAGTCATTGGGACGCGGCTCGCCCGCACGTGACGGGTGCCATCAATGTTGTACAGGTGTGCAGGCGCCTGTTGCGTGACACCGCAGCAGAGCTCACTGCTTGAGAACAGCTGCTTTGTAGTATGTAGCATGCACTTACGCCCGTCCCGTTGCGGCAGTGGCAGGAGGCAGAGCCGAGGGGCGGCAGGAGAGCCCTCGAGCCCCTGCGGGCCCGCGGAGCCGCACAAAGGTGGGACGCGGCCGTGCTGGCGCCCGTGGGCCGTGCGGAGACCCCGCTGCACAAAGTCGTGTCGGCCTCCCGCTCGCGCCCGGAAAAAACGGAGCGCCGTGGTCCACAGGTTCTGTGGTGACGCCCCTGACAGACCAACAGAGGGAGCAGGAGAGCACCACATTAACCCGAGATGCATCAGCGACGGTGCACCACACCCCGTCCCAAGTTCCCTACGGCAGCCTTGCAAGACAAGTGCCCCATTGGCCCACAAGTCAGGTTGAAGCTTCATTTGAATATAAAAAAAACTCCATGTGAGAGCTACGAGGAAAGCGGCAGGGTGGCACCTCACAGTTCAGGCAAGTGCCAAGCGCTGCCCCGCTCGGAGAAGACAGTGCCCTCATCCGCGAGAATGTTGCACACGTCGCTGCACACGTCCAAATGGTGATTTGGTGTGCCACCGACATTGGCTTCCTGAGCAAGCGCAGAGTACGAGTATACATGTCGAGAAGTATACACACACATACACGAGAGAGAGAGAGAGATGGGCAAACAAGAAAGAGATAACGGGAGACCGATGTAACGAAAAGCAGCGCAACAATCAACAACAGCATACGAGCGTGAGCGAGAGATGGAGAGAGGAAGAGAGAGAGAGGAAGAGAGAGGCATACATTGTATATAGTGTGAGAGAGAGAGAGAGAGAGAGAGAGAGAGAGAGAGAAAAAAAAAAAAAAAAGTCATTCATGTTTGCGTGCACAATACGTGTGAACAGGTTTATGGGCGGGGGGCGGGCCGAACCGATACAATCCTGCCGCATGGGGTCCCCACGGCGAGGCCGAGTGGCCCCAAGGCGGCGACAAGATGGCCCCCGTTTTCCCATGTTAGTTCCCGGTACAACCCCAGAGCCCCAAGAGACCCCAAGCAGGGCTGGACCTAAACGGTGTTTTTACGATTTCGTGGACCGTTTTCGTTTCGACTTCGTTTTGGGGTAAAGGCGTGTTGAAGACAAAACGAAAACAAAACGAAAACGAAGAACACCGTTTGGATTCAGCCTTGACCCAAAGATTCCACGAAGAAGAACAGAAGGCCCTCCGGGCCCTCCGAAGGCCCCTCGGGGGCCCTTACTTAGCAGGTCGAAATCGCCGAAACGCGCATGTTGCATACCTCCATTGTGCGCGCGCCTGCTCCGACCTCTGGAGCGGTCCTCGAGGTGGGCGTCTGGGTGCTCACCAAGCACGGTTGCTCTCGCTGCGGCGGCCGCGTGCAGTTGACCGATCACGTTGGTTCTAGGTTTTAGTTGTGGGAGCCTTCCGTGTCTTCGAATTTCATCTTTGGAGTGTATGAGCGTGCGCTGGCGTCTGGTAGTCGATGAGAAAGCACCGATCTCGCGTCGACTAGCGTCGATTTAGCTTCGATCAGCGTCGATGTGCGCCAATCAGTGTCGATTTAGCTTCGGTTAGAGTCGATTCGCACGGGCCAGCAAGACGGCGTGGGAGGCTCCCGCGAGTTGCCACCGAAGGTGGGGAGGGGCGGGAAAGCGGAGCGGGGCAGAGTCCCCTGCGTCCCAGCGAAAACGTGGCCGCCGAGGTGTAAGTAGAAAGGCCATCAGTGACACGCTGCCGTTGAGAGCCCGTCAGCGTGTCACTCCCTACTTGTTGCTGGGGGCATGGTTTTTCCTTTCACAGTTGGCCCGAGTGAGCGCCCCAGCGGTCCGGCATGCCCCCCAGAGAGGCACGAAGGCGGCCCAGGACGCCCCACCCCCCCCGCGACTAGGGGTGATCGCAACCTACTCTTGGGCAGATTCCATCCGGTTGCGATCGGGCCGGAGAGGTTGTGACGTTTTGGGTTCGCTTACAATTTGTTTTGATTAGCAGATGCTCTCCAAGAGAGTTTCTGGAATGAGTGGGTTGCCTCCTTAGCGCACCGATGGAAGTTTCACAAAGTGGTTGCGATCGTGCCGATCGCAGACCACGAGTAGTAGCAGTAGTAGTAGTAGTAGCAGCAGTAGTCGTAGTAGTAGTAGTAGTAGTAGTAGTAGTAGTAAGTAACTAGTAACTAGTACTATTACTAGTCACTAGTCCTATAAACTAGTACTAGTATAGTACTAGTACTAGTACTAGTATTAGTAGTAGTAGTAGTATTAGTAGGAGTAGAGTAGGAGTAGGAGTGAGTAAGTAGTAGTAGTAATAGTAGTAGTAGTAGTAGTAGTATAGTAGTAGTGTCGTAGAGTATAGTTAAAAGTAGTAGTAGTAGTATAATTTGGGCGAAGGGATGGTGGAAAAGGTACGCACCATATTTACCATTAACAGTATCATAAGCAAGCAGCAGCAAGCAAGTAGTAGTAGTACTAGTACTAGTACTAGTACTAGTAGTAGTAGTAGTAGCAGTAGTAGTAGTAGTAGTCGTAGTCGTAGTAGTCGTAGTCGTAGTCTTAGTAATCGTAGTAATCGTAGTAGTCGTAGTAGCCCGAGTAGTCGTAGTAGTAGTAGTAGTAGTAGTAGTAGTAGCAGCAGTAGTAGTAGTAGTAGAAGTAGAAGAAGTAGTAGTAGTAGTAGTAGTAGCAGCAGCAGTAGTAGTAGTAGTAGGGATATAGTGATAGTAGTGCTAGTAGTGTCAAGAGCAATTCTAGTAGTGGTTACATAAGTAAAGTAGTAGTAGTGTTGTGGCGTAGCATTAGTAGTTAGTAGTAGTCGTCGTAGTAGTCGTAGTAGTAGTACTAGTAAGTTGTTAGTAAGTGTCAGTATAGTATTAAGTATAGTAGTAGTAGGTGAAGTAGTAGTGAGTAAGTATTAGTAGTATTAGGAAAGTAGAAGTAGTAGTAGTAGTAGTAAGTAGTAAAAGTCCAGTAAGTAGTGTCAGTAGTAGTCGTAGTATAGTATACAGGAAAAGTAGAGTTTAGGAAGATGAGTCCGGAATAGTAGTAAGGGGAGTAACATAGGAGTCAAGCTAGCCAGCTCGAGCGAGTCAAGCATGGCATGCCCAGTCCCACCCGCCCTCCCACAACATAAGAAGCAAAGCTGGCAGAACTGGGGGCCGAAGTCACACCGGCCAGCCGGTTTGGTACAGCTGATGCGGCCGCGATGGCGGTTGCCGACGGGAACTGGCGAGCGCGTGTTGAATGCCGCGCACGCATTGCCAGACGAGTCGAGAATGGCCCGGTACACCGCAGGAAGCCAGAGGTGGCCGGATGAAGCCCGACGGTCTGACAGGACACCCCAAAGCATTTTTGCAAAAAAACAGTAGGTTTTTGATGTTTTTATGTTGAAATGCTTGCAAACACACGGTGTTCGGTAGGATTCTGACATGAACGCGCGAGTGTGCTCTTTGTAGTATTTTTTGCACAGGATTCGCGGCCTGGGTGCATGACAGAGCATCGCGAGTGCACCGCGCGATGACGCGAAATCGCTGGATTTGACAGAATTCTTCAGATTCCTATGGTTTTCCTATGATTTCAGCAAGAGAGCCCGGGCGGGAAATTTGTACAATTTTTGTGAAAAAGCATTGGGTTTTTGATGTTTTTATGTTGAAATGCTTGCAACACACACTGTGTTCGGTAGGATTCTGACATGAACGCGCGCGTGTGCTCTTTGTGGTATTTTTTGCAATGGATTATCGCCGTGGACGACAGGACGTCCATGTCGAGAGGAAAAAATACGAAACATGTTGATTTTGTATTGTTTTTACAGGTTAGGATGGGACCACCCCGATGCGCCCGCTATCTGCCGCCCTGAGGGGGGGAGTATGGAAGTATATTCGAACTAGGATATAAGGATGGAGGCATAGCTGGAGGATGGGCAACAAGGTCGACCAGAGGCATAAGGAGTAGTACGTGGGGAGTAGCAGCCAGTAGCCGCAGTAGTCGTAGTAGTAGTTAGTAGTAGTAGTTGAGTATTAGTAGTAGTAGTAGTAGTAGTTAGTAATAGTAATTGTAGTAGTAATAGCAGTATAGTAGTAGTAGTAAGTTGTTGTTGCAGTATTAGTAGTAGTTTGCCAGTAGTCAGTAGCGTAAGTAGTTGGTAGTATTAGTAGTCTGGAGTAGTAGTAGTAGTACTAGTACTAGTACTAGTACTAGTAGTAGTAGTAGGGCTGACCTTAGTTTGCTTCCCCCATTTATTCTTTGGAAGGGTGGAAGGGTGGGTGGTGGGGATCCTGGGGCGGGGGAACCGCCGCGCACGAAAAGTATACGAAAACCAAACGGTTACTATACGACTGCCATACGATAACCATACGATTACCATATGATTCCCATACGATTACCCTACGACCACCATACGATTGCCATACGACGACCATACGATTACCACACGACTACCAAACGATCACCATACGACTGCCATACGGTTACCGCACGACTACCAGACGATTACCATGCGATTTCCAAACGATTACCATACGACTGCCATACGATTACCATACGACTACCATACGATTACCATACGATTACTATACGACTACCATACGATTACTATACGACTACAATACGATTCCCATACGACTAGTATACGGTTACCATACGAAAACCGTGCGGCTACCATGCGAAAAACCATACGAGTACCATACGATTGCCATACGAGTACCATACGACTACCATACGATTACCAGACTATTTCGATGTGACGACCATACGATTACCATACGCTTGCCGTACACTTTCCGTACGACTACCATACGATTACCATACGGTTTTCATACGATTACCATACGCTTGTCATGCGAAAACCATACGAACACCACACGGACACCATACGAAACATCATACGCTTACCATACGACAACCATGCGATCACCATACGACAATCATACGACTGCCACACGAAAACCTTACGAATACCATTCGAACAGCCATACGGCTACCATGCGATTACCATGCGAAATCCATAAGATTACCATACGAGTACCATACGAAAGCCACACGAAGAGGAAACAAAAAAAACGATTTACATACGACTACCATACGATTACCATACGACTACCACACGAACAACCGTATTAAAAACCATACGGCTACCATACGATTACCACACGACTACCATACGATTACCGTACGATTACCATGCGACTACCATACGATGACAACACGGTTACCCTACGGTTACCATACGATCA